AAGTAAGATTGGTTTGATGCATTCCAACAGTCCGAAAGACTTTTATTTGTTGCAATTTGTAAATTAAGCCTATTTTGTGTTTATAGTCGTGCCTTCAAAAAGGGATGAAGAGGTTGCAATCTTGCGATATTAATAACTGATATTTACCATTTTTTTATGTTTCCCTCATGGTTTCTATCAAAACCTAACAAAGATCAAGGAAAAGTAATACTTTGTACATTAACTTTTTTTTTCTGATAAATAGGTGCACCTTTTGTTTTCCATGAGGAATGTTCACACCCTAAAAGAATGATCTTTTTCTTAAAGATGCTTGTAAGATTTTATAGAACTCTTGGATTCTCTATAGAACACATGATTTTAAATGTTGGTAACATTTTTGTGAAATTTTGTTTAAAAAAATAGAAAAAAAAATAAATTGCCAATACAATTTCATAAGTTTTGGGCCCATTCAAATTTTGGCAAAAGCTAAACTCGAGACTAACCCATGAACAGGTTTAACCAATAGCGAGGGAGGTTGATTGATCAAGGTTCAATCTAGTTTCACGTCTTTCCTATAGATTTTTTTCTACATAGAATATATCAGAAAGATTATTCAGGTAGAAACTAGAAAGTAGAAACAACAATGGTGCTAAATACACACAAAGTAGGGGATCATGACACTTTATCTCTTCTAAACTTGTTTTGCAACAAGTTGCCGCTTGTTGTTACCATTCATTCATCATGGTTCAAACTTAAAAGCTGATTCTATTGATATGCAAATTTTACATATTGAGAATTTTAGTTTATCAAAACAATTGCTTTTTTTTTAATTTGTTTTAGTTGATATATTGACAGCCCACTTATTACATTGAATACTAACATTTAAAACAATTCAAATCTCCCAACTTTGTATTATTTCCTGTATCGACAACCCTAAGATACTATACCAGATCTTACTCTCTTTCTCTCAAATAAGGTTGATATCCTTCTCCTCTACTCCTATCTAGCAATATTACTCTCTTTCTCTCCCACTCTGTGATGGGTCAGTTATCTTCTTACCTCTGTGCGAGTCTTCTAATTCTTCCCCTCTTTGTTCTGTTTTTTCTCCTCTCCAGCATTATGGTCCTTTTCCTTTTTCTCTCCTATGGCGATAACGATGAATCGGTTCTGACTCTTGGGTGTGAAGCTTTTACACGGCCATGGATGATAGTCGTTATCTATGTCTACAAACTCACCAAGTTGTAGATTTGTCCTAAATCTCATCCATGGCAAGTGCAACTTTGTTTGTTGTAGGAGATTGGCTATCGAAAATACCGATGATCAATGTTGATGTCAGTTCTTCAGATGGATGCCCAGGTGGAGCTTCTTTGAGATTTTATTTTGGGCTTATGGTGAGCAGTAAAGGTGCAATTTTGTTCAACAGTTTCCTTGAAGGTGGCTTTTGTTTCTTTCCACCGGGGTTGGATGATATAGCATAAGTTGAGAACGCTGCCAGAGCCATCGGATTTGCTCTTCCCGGTGAAACAATGCGTTGCTCTTCCATTTCTATGGTAGTTACGATTGACAGGTTAGTAGTCTATTTTCACACCTTAACACTCGTGACTTCGATTTTTTGTGGGAGCATGTAGATCTCGATGAGTTGGCGGTAATTTTCCTTATTTTGAAACAATTGAAAAGTTTTTCATTATCTTTACTTATGGACCAAAAGGACAAGGCAGTTGTCATTGGTGTTATCAGCATCAAGATTATTAGGGGGCATTTTTTTTTGGATTTCGAGAGGGGAAAGTTGGTTAATGGGATTTTGATTCCCATTGGTCAAGAAACTCATGTTCATTTTTCATATTTATGTGGGAGCACGTGAAAGTTGTCAATACTTTGATGGAACAAAAATGCCTCATTTAATAATGGAATTTTGATGGCTAAGATTGTCATTGCTTTATTTACATGGAAAATAAAAGAACATGGGTAAGTGCACTTACCCAAGTAAGTCTTTCCTGGATAAGTGCATTTATCCAAGTAAGTGACTTACCGAAAAGCAAAGGAGGCATTTATGCAATGGAGAAGGTGGATTTTCTCAATGAAAATGTCAAAATATATCTATTATCTTCAATCATTGGATAAATTCTCACTTTTGAGATTCTTTCGGGCCCATTGGTCAGGTTAACTCAGCAACAGAAACATAAGGCTAAGGAGTGGGATGTTGGACCCTCCGACCACTCTCCTTTATTTAAGCCAAATCTTGAAAAGATGGGCCTACTCCGACCATTCTCTTCAAGCAATTCTTATAATCCAAAGATGGGTCATTCCCTACTCCTAGTCGTTCCTCTACAACGGACGGGGTGTGGGCTCAAGCCCATTCAATTGATGTTATCGTTTTTGTCAAGGTTTTTAGGTGTTTAGGTCTTTGTGTGTGTGTGCGTTTCTCTTTTGTGTTTGTTGGTAGGTGTTGAGTCTTCAAGGGTTTTGTGGTTTCTATTGAAGGATTATAACTTGTTTTATTGGCGATTTCCTCGTTAACGCCGATTGTTGAGACCTTGCTTGTTGATGCTCCTAATGCTCGACTTACCTAGGTTGTTGTTTCGTTCATGATGCATGGTGGTGTCTAGTTGGTTCTGTTTGTCTTATTGGTTTTGAGTCTTGTGTTCTTTGAGCTTTCTACTTATTTTTTGTAATACGAGCATTTTCAATGAAGAATTGCCTTTTGCCCCCCCGACCCACCAAAAAAAAAATAAAGAAAGAAACCTGTCCCCATGAGGTTATTATTAAAGGTGCAAGTTTAGCCTTCGAGTTAGGTCCATTGAAATTTTGACAAAAACCCCAACCCTAACCTGCAAAAGTTGCACCCCTAGTTATTATGTGTGAATTTATACATTTTTAAACCCCAAACTACAAGGTTATAAGTATTGATACACCCCGCTAAGACGCAAGGGGTGTTTAGTACTTTGAAGTTGGAACCTTGTGAGTTGCACCCACCTTTTTTTTCAAAAATAGATTAAGGCATGTCTTGGGCCTGCCTATCCCTTGAAATAGGTCAAACCCCCAAAACATTCTTATATCAATGACCCACCAATACCATTCGTATCTTATCTGCCGATAAACAACAATTTTTAGAACCTTGCCCATATGTATTTTTCTAGATCATATTGCCATTTTGATTTTTTTTTTCTTKTTTTTGTTAACCAACTATTGTGTGTTTCTCTCAAAACAGGCTGGCAATTACTTGTGCCCTCTATGGAAGCAACATGTCTTACAATGCATATTTCAAGAGTTCAACTATAATGTATTCCTTAATATTAGTTGCACATCATTTTTAGATCTCAATCAATCACCTTAAAGTCTGCTTTACTTTTTATTAGTGAAAAAAACTTATTTATCCATAAGCATAACCAAGGATGTTTGTTCATACAATGAATAAAAAGGCAAACAAGAAGACAAACAAGTTTTGAGATCTCATTGGTGATATAAATAATTTATCTTTTTTTATTAAGCATTTACAAAAATACTAAAAGTATTTATTTATTTTTGCTTCATGGAACTAAACAAATAGGGGTAACCCACCCCCCAACAAGGGGACTCGATCCTAAGTCTTCACTACAACCTTACCAACCATCCAGTTCCTGCAGAAAGTATTATGTTTATGCTCTGGTTGTGTAGTGTACTTCTTGTTTAGATTGAAATTGAAGTAAATATGACATGATTAGATTTATTCTTTCAAAAATATTTTTCCTTAGGTGTTAATGATGTTATGTTTCATAAAACACATAATATCGTGACAAGGACTTTGACCATATAAACATTAACCAGTTTTTATTCTATTTTTATTTTTTAATTATAAAAGTATAATAACATGTGATATATAAAATGTATAACAATATTAATTATATATGATATATAATATTTGAATTTAACTTTTACGAGTCCTGTGACTTATATAGAACCCTAAGAAAAATACTGGCTTTATATGAAAAAAGATGTTTTGGTATCATTATAGATTATACAACATCACTTATGAGTGTAAATTCAACTAGAAAAATGTATGTGTGACACTCATCACTGCATTTATAGTTAAAACCTTTTGCCTTAAATTATTTGAACTCATTTTAATATTTTTAAATGTTTTCATTATAATTTGTATCGGAACAAATTTGAAGGAGCAAAAAAGGGACAGATATATGCTGCAGAATTAAAAAAAAAAAGAGATGCGAACTTTTGAATTATGTATGGACTTTGGACTTCTTAGAAGTATAAAGTGGGCCGTGCCATCCTCTCCGGTGAAAATTTTGGGGGTTGGCCCGGTATGGCCCACGGCCTAGGCTCATAGGCCCGTATGAGCCTGTATTGTGCCATGGGCTGAGCTTTGGGCCAAGTTAGGCCATGCATCGGGCCAAAGTTATTTATTTAAAAAAATTGATAAAAAACTTAAAATTTTAATTTTATATGAATTTATGTATAAAATTGCTTATAAATACAATAATTAAATAATATAATATAATAAAATAAAAAATATATTTATTTTATTAATACATTATTATATAATTATAAATTTATATAATATTATATAAATAATATATATGGGCAATACCAGTCCGCAAGCCCGTTTGATCATGCCATATCGTACCGGCCTGTAGACCTTAAAACCCCAGGCCCAGCACAGCTCACATGATCATGCCGGGCCTGACATAGCCCGACCATCGTACTGGGCCAGTCCAAATTCATATCGGGTCGCGGACGGCATAACCCGATTTACACGTTTAGAATTCTGTAAGATTCATGGACAATCCGAATACAAAGCGAGCAAGAGATGCGAACTTTACTGTAGGCGATTTCGTAGATGAGACCCATCCAAATCTCGAAGCAAGATTGACGGCTACACTCATTTTAAGCAGCAGCATAATAGCCATCGTACTGAAATAGATCCGGCTACAAAACGGAAACTGCCTCTGATCCGGACTCGGATCTACCCGAATCATGTTCCCGCTCCAACCACAGCATTATATATCGAAAATTCACTCTCATTTCGCAATCCCTCTTCAACTCTACTAGCGTTCCTTAACTCCACGGCGGAGATCCGAGGAGTTGGGAAACCCTAACCCTAAAAAAGCTCTAACGCTATCGCCCTCGCCTCTCATCGTCTATCTTTCATCACCAGTGATCGCCAGCGATCTTCTTCACTAGCAGGTGGCTTCTTCTAATCCGCTTGTGTTTGTTCTCTGTTTCATCTGCACTCAATATTTGTTCGACTATGTATTTAGTATCTAAATCTCATTGTTTGAAATTTTTCTGGATAGTTTTTGTGCTGAGTTTAGTGCTAAAGCTGTTAACCATATCCAAACATCATTAGAATTGTGTCACCCCCTTTCGGTGCAGATTTATGTTCTTGAGATAGATCGATCCACCTGCTTATCGATTATATATTTTTTATTTTTCACTGTCGTGGATGGGATCTACCTGATTATAGGTTCCTCTTTTTTTTTCTCAAAATTGTATTATTTTAGTTCGATTTAGGGTTCGATCGTTTTATTGGACATTTTTGAAGGGTTAAGTATAGGAAGTTGGTCCAAGGAAGCTTAAGCTTTTACTAGTGTAGTCGATCTTGCAACATTTGCAAATTTAGCGAAACATATTTTGCTTCTTATGGAAAGTGTATGGAAGCTAAACTTTGTTTGGATTGGTAGAAGTGAACCAGTGAAAAGAGAGGCTATTTTTTCCATCATCTCTTACGCAGTTATTGATTTTTGTTGAAGTTTTTTTTTCAGAATTTCATTGGCGTGGTAAAGGTAATAAAATTTTCAGCAATTAGAACAGCTGTTTGGATTTGAGTATTTATTTCTTTCAAATTTGTCTTATTGGATGCACTACCTGATGATTGGAGCCGTGTACTTTTATGCCGTCTTTGAGCTGGAGATGAATTACAGGATGATATCAATCTTGATTTCTGAATGGAACATTTATTCTTGTCGAGTCGAAAATTTCCCTGTGCTGACATTGTACCACAGCTTAAGATTTTCCCTTCTTCTAAATAAGCCTAACATGTGTAGGTAGTTGAAAACATGAAACAGTGCCACCAGGTATTAGGAAGATGCTCCTCTGCTTCCCTGACATTGTATAGATTTTCATATTTACCTTGTGATTTATCTGTGGGTGAATGCTGGGATGCATTATTTAACCATCGTCAACTCATTTCTACATGCTTTATCATTTTAATTCTAATTTATAACAACCCATTCAGATTTTTAATTTCCTATAGAAATTTTAAACAAGCTGTTGGTGCATTCTGTGCCCGTAATATATCAATTGTGGTTTTAGTAGCACTGTTTTTATTATGCATTACAGACAATTAAATGGAAAGAGCTGTATGGACATTGAAGTTTCCATTATTGTATCTAAAAAGTTACTCAGGTTCTTATTTGTTTGAAATTTGTGCATGTAGATTTAATATTTGCAATCATGGCGGGATTGGCACCAGAAGGTTCACAATTTGATGCGCGTCAATATGATGCCAAAATGAGTGAGCTGTAAGTCTCCTCCCCCATCAAAAAAGAGAAAATAAAATGTGAAAAATAAAAATAAAAATAAAAGGAAAAGAACAAGAAGAAATATGGAGAAATGCTGGTGATTTGGCTTTGCATGAATCTCCTCTGTGTGCGTTGTTGTGTTTGTTCACTCTACTTTTGTGAATTAATTTTAATCTGTAAATTAATTTACATAGGATTTTAAAGCCTTCCTAATGATGATTTTGATTTAATGAGCAGGCTCACATCAGATGGACAGGATTTTTTTACATCATACGATGAAGTTTATGAAAGTTTTGATGCCATGGGCTTGCAAGAGAATCTTCTGAGGGGCATCTATGCATATGGTAGGTCCTTACTGTTCTGCTAATTTTTAATTAAACAGCATGTTGAGTATTCACATATCACGTTTACCATGAAGCATTTGACATGCCAGTTTCTGAGATCTTGCATCAAACTAGGTCTGATTGGTGGCACCTGATAAATCTGACCTACAGTTTAAAAAATAGAAGATTTGTATTTCTAGGAGGTGTATTTATGTGAAACCTGACATGGTCTGGACTCCCACCTAAACATTTTTACTTGGTTGTCCTTGGTGGTGTTATCATGAAATTTTGTGCTGCAATGCACCACAAAGTTTGTTTTTCATTTATTCTATGGAACTTTTCTTCGGAGCTATTCACCTGAAGTTTATTTTACATGATGTATTGTTGGTTTGGCACTCCTTTTCCAAGGATAGGTAGTAATATTGAAAGTCTTCTACTTTATTTGTTCAAGGGTTTGAGAAGCCCTCTGCAATACAGCAAAGGGGTATTGTGCCCTTCTGCAAAGGGCTTGATGTAATTCAGCAGGCACAATCTGGAACGGGAAAAACAGCAACTTTCTGCTCTGGAATTCTGCAGCAGCTTGATTATAGTCTAGTTGAATGCCAGGCCTTGGTTCTTGCACCCACTCGAGAACTTGCACAACAAATTGAGAAGGTGATGAGGGCTTTGGGTGACTATCTTGGTGTTAAAGTGCATGCCTGTGTAGGAGGAACCAGTGTCCGTGAGGATCAACGTATTCTCTCAAATGGAGTTCATGTTGTTGTCGGTACTCCTGGTCGTGTATTTGACATGTTGCGGAGACAGTCACTTCGCCCTGATTACATTAAGATGTTTGTATTGGATGAAGCTGATGAAATGCTTTCACGAGGTTTCAAAGATCAGGTAATAATTCCTTCTATGTCTTTGTTAGTTTATAATGCTAATTCTGTGATATGCTTGTAGCCAATGTTGTAAGCATGCAATTACGTGCTATCCTTGTCCTGTATGGTATGTCTTTATGCGAATTCAATATACATTAAAAATTCCTATTATTAGAGCAAAAGTTTTATATGTCATTTTCATGGGAGGAAAAGAAACTTTGGCTGCTCTGCCATAAAATTGTTTCATTTCAAAATCTAAAGGTTAGCTTTTTGTGAACCATTATCATATGCAGTTCTTCTCTTTTAGTTATCTCATTGTTTGTTTTTCCGTTTTGAATCCAAGGCAATTTGATTGGTAGCAAACGTTGAAAGAATTTTAATAGTCATGGTTAATTTGAATGAAATTTACTTTGTGAAAAAGGAAAAAGAGTTAATTTGGGCAATAGGTAAATTTTGTTGACCGAGGCACATGGCATCAAGGTTCAAATTATCGATGTACCCGTGTATTGGCAGGGGCTTATCGGTACTAAAATCTCACCGCTCAATGTTTTTTTTAGTGTTTTTTCAAAAATTTATTTCTGGAGATGATTATTAAGTGTTTTTTATTGAAATAAATGCGGGTCGCGAAACACCTCTTAATAGATGTATCGAGACCAAAAGATACGATGTGGTGCGTATCGTATCGATACTTTGAACATTACATGGCATCATAGTTTGTTAACTCTGTATATCTATGGATTATAAGAAAATTGATGAGAATCTACTCTGATCAAGTTGTATTATTGGGAAATAACAACCAACTAACGAGGCAATGCATTTTTTATTGCACCTTACTGTATAATCCCCCTTGGCATTGATGATATTTCTGCTTTAATTGACAATTCATCCGTTAAGAGTTTCTTGGATGTTGCTATTTGAACTTGTATATCTTGCGAAGTTATTGTTTCATGGTTCTGCATTTTAGAACATATGCTAGTTATTTAGTTGAATTACTGTGTTGCCTTTTGAAGTTGATCTGATGTTTTGAGTTTTGGGAGAGTCCATCGTCTACATTCTGACATAATCTTTTTCATCAGATTTATGATATTTTCCAGCTCCTGCCATCAAAAGTCCAGGTTGGAGTCTTTTCTGCCACAATGCCTCCTGAGGCTCTTGAGATTACAAGGAAGTTCATGAACAGGCCTGTGAGGATTTTAGTGAAGCGTGATGAGCTCACACTTGAGGGTATCAAGCAGTTCTATGTCAATGTTGAAAAGGAAGATTGGAAACTTGAGACACTTTGTGATCTGTACGAGACCCTTGCCATCACTCAGAGTGTCATCTTTGTGAACACCCGACGCAAGGTTGATTGGCTGACTGACAAGATGCGGAACCGTGACCACACAGTCTCTGCCACCCATGGAGACATGGACCAGAATACCAGGGATATCATCATGCGGGAATTCCGGTCGGGTTCCTCTCGTGTACTCATTACCACAGATCTGCTTGCTCGTGGTATTGATGTGCAGCAAGTTTCCCTTGTCATAAACTATGACCTTCCTACACAGCCTGAGAATTACCTTCACCGTATTGGTCGTAGTGGACGGTTTGGAAGGAAAGGAGTTGCCATCAACTTTGTGACGCGTGATGATGAGAGGATGCTGTTTGACATACAGAAGTTTTATAATGTAGTTATTGAGGAGCTGCCATCAAATGTTGCTGATCTCCTGTGATGAGATTTTGTCCGTGGTTTACATCGAAGGTAAGATCTTCCTATTTGCTAAGTACTATTTAATGTGTCTCTTTTATAGGGTTAGTGTCTTAATTTAGTGTCTTTGAACTTTATCTGACTATCGAATTAAATGGGTCCTGCACATTTGCAATGGGGAATTTTCTTAATATTGCCCATTATGGGTGTGGGTGGGCATTTGTTATTGCAAATTTTGTTGCAGGTAGGGTTTTTGTATCTTATGTGTCCTTATATAACCCAAATGAGGTAGTTTGGATTGGTTCTTTCTCCCATTCTGCTTGGTTTTCTTTTTAATATGGTGAGGGGATACTTTGTAGAATGAAAACATGATTTGTTATTTATGTTGGAGACCAGAATCTCTTGAATATTAGGTCTCTCTTCTGCCTTTTCAGTGTTCTGCTTTAATTGATATTCTTTGATTATTGTTTATCAACTTCCTCTTTTTCTTCAAGTTTGAGGTCCTAGTTAGTTTGAGTGGTGAATTTCCGAAAGCCTCGGATATTGGTCGTGCGCTCAATTCATGCACTAATTGTTAATCGAACATTGTTAATGTACCGAGTGAAAATTTACTGTATTACTGGTTTGCTTGTTGCTGTTGGTGAGGGGATACGTGTGCTTTTCTATAACTATAGTGTTGCAACGATGTAATTTGCATATATAATTAATTATTCTCGACGATATGGTACAGTGAGTTTCATCAATCGAAATTTGAAGGCATACTTTTTCTCGGGTTCTGCGACCGAGTTCACATCTGCCCCGCCCCAATAACGGCCCACATGCACATCTCACCGTGTATTGAGAACATCTTCCGTACTTGTCACGGGAGATGTTTCCAATACACGATTGGGATGTACTGTTGGGGGCAGATTTGAGTTAAACTCTCTGCGACCAGGATTCTAGTTCTTCTGGAATTAAGACATTATTTTTTTTAATAGAAAAAGTTCACGAGCCATTCCCGCCAAGCTGGGCAGGTTTCGCAACTAAACTCTTGGGCTTCTCATACACTTGTTCAGTTATTCATAACTGAGGTTAGACTGTAAGATTGATCGAAGTAGTATATCGATTTGGGATTTGGGATTCGAAGGCAAACAACGGGAAACAGAACCCAGACCATGAATGTTATTTGGATATATTCCCAATGTACCACGGGATTCCTCCGCTTTCAGAGTGTGCAGTGTTTTCCCCTCCATTCCTAAATGGTATCCCGTCAGCCGTCACATTCGATACGAGTAAACTTTGCAAGCATCTCTAGTCTCAACTTGGTGCTCAGCTGGCAAAGTGGCAATGGCAGTTCTAACCTGGTCCTATGCCTAAATATTGGGCTTAATGCCCCGGGAGTTCCTACCCATGGTAACTCTACCCACACCCAAGATTCAAAGTATTGATGTGCATTGTCGATACTTAATGTTTTGGGAGCACCCTGATATGCCCCTACAGTGGGTGTATCATGGTTCTGACTGGTTTAGGGGGGTGGAGGAGTCTTAAACTGGCCTTACTGTATCTGTTTTGAAAAAAAAAGAAAGTACCGATATTGCCTGATACGCCCCTATCAGTGTTGTCCACACCTACCCAGCCGTACATGAGAACAGCTCATGTTATTATGCACAGGGTAGGTGTGTTTCTCATCCCAAATTGAACCATAGTCAGGCTTGGGTTTGAAGACGAAATCACAATATTCAACCGCCCACCTTCAAATGAAACCAAAATGCTTGGTTTAGAATATTTTAGGCCTGAACTTTATTTATTAAATTAGCAAGGAACCGGTGAAATCCACAGAATAGGGTTTGAAGATACAAATTTGAAAAAAATATTTAAAAATAGATGTAAATGCATTAAATAGAAGAGGTATGGTTGCTTCAAATGAATTTTGGAATAACTCTTTTATACATAACTTGCCCTTCTAAGTTCTAACTTGTACTTCCAGGCAGTGAAATTTAAGCAGTCTCAATCTCCTATCCACAAAAACCTTGTGATATTTAAACAGTCGCAATCTCCTATTCACAAAAACCCTGCCCATGCCTACGAACATGTTATCACATCTGCACATTGGGAACATCTTCACATGAATGATAACATATAAGTAGAGAGATATTCCCGATGTGTGATAACATAAGGGCCCAAACTTTTACTTGAAACAACAATCCCCCACTCTTTATTGGAGAATGCAGATATCCCTATTGGCTTAGCCTTGGGTTTCTTCAATGTTGATTGTTGAATGAGTAGGAATGGCAATGGGGCAGGGTGGCGACAAGGAGCCACTCCCTATTGTATATTTAAGGTCTTAACTTGCATTCATCTTCATTGAATCATATATTTAAGGATTCTTTGTTTCTTCTCATCATTAAACTCTATAATTAAATACATACATATTAAATTAATAATTTCAATAATATAATAAATTAATAATAATTAATAATTTAAATACATACATAATAAATCTACCTAAAAAATAGTGTTTTCATTTAGGTGGTGGTACGAAATTAAACCATTTGGGTCAAATAGGCCAATCCATGTTGCCACAATTAAATAATAGAATTCAAAAATATATAAAATGCAAAAATATAGAAATTAAAAAAAAATAGAATGTTTTAACGTCATATATTTGACATATTAAACAATAGTAAGTGTGATAAACAATGTTTTAAAAAACCRACCTAGAGGCCGACCCGTTTTTGCCTTCAAATTACAAGTCACCAATTCAACTGTCAAGGTCAAACGAGTCAAATTGCCCAGTGTCAACACTATGTGTGTGTGAGCATGTGTGAAAATACATATTTTATCAATAAATAGTATAATTATGTTTTACATATATTTCATATAATATTTATATTATGTTACATTTATTTATGTTTTTCAATTCCGTTTTAAATTTTTTATTTATAAAAAATATTAAAATTTATAATTTAGGGCCAAAAATAGGGTTTTTTTCGTGAAAATAGAAAGACAAGGCGCATAATGCCCTTGTGATGTTTAGATTGATAACCCCGATCGGGACATCGGAGTTCAAAGTTATGGCTTCCAAAAGTTTGCACATAATTAAGTACGGAACCTGCAACTTGGTTACTGGGTCGAACGGGAATGGTTGAACTGCCCAAGTTGGACAGTTTTTAACCAAAAGGGAGAGTTTCAACAAAACCAAACCTAGAATCAATACTGAGTGACAGTTTGAACGGATCAATCTGCCAGGTCAACAACAAGTTGAAAACATTGATGATAAATAAGAAATATTTTTATTGATGATGGAAATGAAATGTATAACTTAAAACCAACTGGAAGTAAAACTATTTTCCTATTATCTCTCATTAAATCTTATATCTAAGGTATATTCTCTTATTAAATCATATATTTAAGATATATTTTTCTCATCATGAAATTGTACTAATTAAATCCACAACATTAATTTTAATAATATAAAAACAAATATTTTGAAAACAAAACTATTTTCTTCCCTCTCGGTGGTGGGTAAGCAATTCAACCATTTGGGGTCAAATCCGTTAATAAATAATGTCATAATTAAATAATCAAAAATTAAAATATATAATACAAAAAATAAAAAGAATTGGGCATGTCATTAATATTGTATATTCATTATAGTGAACAAAAATAGGTACGAAATGTAAGAAGTATTTTTGTAAATGATGAAAATGGAATGTCAAAACTAAAATCAACCTAAAAATGAAATGATGTCGTAGTCAAATGATAAAGTTTTTAAAATAGAAAATACAAAGAGTCACAAAAATAACTATTATACATAAGATATAAGAGAGGCGGACTGGAATAGTAAACATTTAAAGGAGTTGAGTGTAAACCTACTGAGTAATTTTGAAAATATATGTATTAAGGATATAAGAAGATCACCACCTAACTTATCTGCTCAACTGCTATCCGAGAAATTCTTCCATTTGTGAAAAAAGGGTTGTTTGTTCGGATTTTTGCTCTCTGCCTATCTTAGTTGTTGGAGTAGAGCTGAACAAATCTTATTGCCACTTAACTTTAGAACCTAAGGCTTATACTTGAAAGATTGCAAATACTAATATGTACAGTAGAAATCCATACAAAATAAAACAAAATGCAAGGTTTTGCACTTTGCATATTTGTATTTGCATTCATTCCAAACTGAGTCAAATGGAAAGTATAGGGTACCTTATTGTTAGAAGTGAAAGTTTAGGTTTGTCATTATCCCCAAAGTACAGGGTAATTCCCTGTAATTTTCCCTTTGCTTATCTATGAGCCCTACGACAATGAGCCAAATCTAATTGATGCTTTATTTTTGGGACATTTACTTGTCTATGATGAATTTTATTATTTAAAATTTTAAATATTATTACAAGATTCAAAATTATAATTGAAATTGAAGTTTTATTTCTTTTAAGTTTTAAAAATAATATTGCAAATTTTAAATTTTAAATAGTATCTTTATTAATTTTAAAATATAAAAGTAATAAATTAATTTAATCAAATATAACTTTATCAATAACAATTAATTATAGTTTTTATTCATAGTAATTAATTTCTATTTTTTCTATTTTATTAATTAATTATTGATTACTTTAATAATTTAATTAACTTTAAAACAATGTGATTTTAAAAATAATTTATTAATTTTATTTTATATTGAGTAATATAATTTAAATTTTTAATAATGGGCATGTGTTTGCTCTAATTCCACCCAGGTTGCAACCCCCAAATATATAAGAAAGAGTCAAGAAGAAATTTTTCTACTTCCCAAAATGATCAAATAGAAATCCTTTTTCTTTGCTAACTAAATATGATAGCTTATTTGATTTTATTATTTTTGAAAATTTGAAATTCTCTTAATTTTAAAATTTTGAAATACTATTTCATTAATTTTAAATAATATTTTTATTTAATTAACCTAGATGTGAGAAATTGGCTATGTTGATGAACATTTAATAGAAATAAAGTTTTAGTTTTGGGTTAAGGGATGGTGTTAGAAATAAGGCTATGTTTGGTTTGAAGGAAAAAATAGGGAAAGGAAGGGAAATGTTTCCCTACCTTTTCCAACTTGAGTTGGCCCCAATTTACATTTTACACTACTTTGGGCTCTGGCTTAGGGAGGACCATTTATATTTTGACAAAAGTCAAACCAAGCCCTTCCAAATTGGACCCCTAGCCAAAAGAGTATAATTCAGAAGTGCATTAACTATTCATAATGCCTCCTAAGTTTTGATGAAAACGACCTGATTCATTACCACTTTTATAATAGCAGTTGCTAGGTTATAAATTTATTCGGTACTAATAGTATAGAGAGATTTGATGGGGAAAGGGGGAGAGATTTTAAGGGCAATTAATTTATTGGGTTGCTGGAGTACCGGAGGGGGAGAAAAAGCTAATTGATCACAAATTCACACAACCAATCGATGGCTGACTCGTTCGTGTGTTA